ACACAGAGCGTTCCACTTACCTGTCATCAGCAAGGGGAAAAAAAAAAAAGGGCCCGAGTTCAATACACAGACATTAAAAAAAAAAAAAAAGAAACAAGAGAACGCTGAGAGGGCACTCACTCACATGTCATCTGCAAGAATCCCGCCTTTTCCTTCCCTGTAGAGAGAGTAGAGAAACTTCACCCCTTCTCTCTGATAACCCATCAATTTGCAGTTGATCGACGCGGGCACAACAACCCTGTCTTCTTGAGTTTTTCCCGCCAATTCTCTCAGTTTCCCGCCTCCGTTTTCCGCACAGCTGGCGACAGCTCCCATCTCCTCGAGAGGCCGGCAAACGGAATCTAACGGAGGCCAGAGAAGAAGGTCGTCTTCCGTTTGCCACGTGGACCTCACAGATCTATCAGAGCCGCAAAGAGAATAACTTTGACCGCCATAATCACGGGGAGACGATGTCGCATTCTCCTTCTCCTCCTCCTCCTCCTCCTCAAGTACTCCTCCCGCCCCGATCCCAGCATCCACAAGATGAGTTCCGACACCCATCTTTCTGTTCAATCGACGGCTCCTCAACATCACCGGACGACGATCACCCCCTCCCTCCTCCTCCTCCTCCTCCTCCTCCTCCTCCGCATTACCCCGCCTCCCAAGCTGATCACCATACCCACACAATCGGTCTCGATGGCCTTCTGACGAACAGCCACTCACCTCTCCTCCCGCCGCGTCAGCACCGGTTCGTGCCACGTCAGCGCGGATTCGGACCAAGGAAGGACAGCTCAGATCCCGATCCCGATGCCGAACGATAGCTTGGCTCGGCTTTCTCACAGAACGAGTATCCCGATCCCGATCATCCCTACGAGCCGCCGCCGCGGCAAGGTCGTCGGTGGAGGACAAGCTCGGTCGAACGCTAGCCGACAGACCGCCCGTTCGAGCCCCGCTGCAAGCGTCATACGACCGATCCCGATCATCGCTAGATGATGAGAGACCGGGACGATGAGAGACCGAGACTCCCCTCCTCTCGTCAGTGCCCACACCACCGCCGCCGCCACCGCTCGTTGACCCTGGCCCTTCTCTTCCAGTAGACCAACACGTGGCCGGCGGTCCTCTCCCGCCATTACCGCAGATTATAGACAGATCTGTGTACTTCCAGCTCGGCAAGGACAGCATCCTCTCGCGCAGCGACATCCGCCGAGGAGGGCAAAGATGGGAGGAGGGGGAGGGGGAGGGGGAGGAGGAGGAGGTGGTCGGAACCGCCGTCCCCGCCGACAGCTCCGCCCACGGCGGTACAGAAGGCGGGAGAGTTGATGACCCTCCTCCTCCTCCCCTCCATCTGAGCGCCGTCCTGTCGTCGGCCGTTGCGTCCCGATCACGACCCTGCGCGGACGGTACGTCTCCTCCCTCGTTCGATTGCCCGGCAAGCGTCATCCGAGCAGCGACGGTCTCGACCCCGACCCTGCGCGCCCATGAGGTCTCCATCACTTCCACCACCCGCGCCACACCCGCCTCGAGTTCGACCCCGACCCCGACCGCGACCCCGACCCCGACCTCCCCCGCACGCCCTCATACACGAACTTTCCTCATCACTTTCAACTCCAGTGGCACCGCCTTCTCCCTCTCCCCTCCTGCTAACCACAGAGAACCATCAACCGCACATCTCTCTCTCTCTCTCTCTCTCTCTCTCTCTCTCAACTTCAGTGACACCGCCTTCTCCCTCTCCCCTCCTGCTTACCACAGAGAACTATCAAACGCGCATCTCTCTCTCTCTCTCTCTCTCTCTCTCTCTCTCTCTCTCTCTCTCTCTCTGTAGCGCCCGCGCGCGCCCGCACGTGGGCTTATTCGTAACGCAATCCGTTTTGATTGTTTCCCGAACTAATCTCGCTTCCCGCCAAACAGCGATCTCGTTTCCCGCCAAATGAGTAGTGATCATCACAAGCAGATCGGTCACAGATTATTATCATCGATTGACCAGCTGCTCTTTGATCAACAGTGACCATTCATCCCTTCGATGGTCTATATATAGAACCATTCGATGAATGGAACTGATCGCAATTACGACCACAGTTTCTCAGTCCAACGAGTCCGAATGTGACTCGGCCCGAAGTCGACTTCTTCCACACGATTGCAGAGGCTGCGCGCCGAGCAACTCTACAACCCCTTTAGCTATGGAAGTCGTTCCCAACCCGTCTTCCCCCGAATAGAACGTCCAGTCCTTATTGCTGTATCTAGACTGACAGTTCCACAAAGTGCAGCGCCAAGTTAATGAACGTACCTTATATTTGGGGAAAGGCAGTTGCCAGTAAGGTGAGTGTGACCTCCATGTTGGGGGGCGAAGGGGAGGGAAAGGGGCGGGGGACACAGAAAAAAAAGCCGCAAACCCGTCTTGCTGGCGGCTTTGCTGATCCACGTGGCTGCTCGTCATGCGTTGCTGAGTATACCAACCCTCGTCACGTGGACCCACTAATCAGCCACGTGATCGACCCATTGACCCACTAATTAGCCACGGTAGGGATCGCTTCCTGCGACTTGCGACGGCAACGCCGCGCGATTGGTCCTCGATCGTGCGTCCTTGGTTTAGCGCCACGAAATTGCCGGCCTCAATTGCCTACCTCTACTGTAGGGTTCGAATTTGCAGGCCTCTTTCCCGGGCTTGGAAGATTTGAAATCCTGTAGATTTGACAACACCAGCCGTTGTACTCTCTTAGGCCGTTGGGAGGCAATCGAAATTGACTCTCCATTATCCGCCTATCTCAGTTGGTAAGGCACGCAGGTGGCATTCAGGGGGTCCTGGGTTCAATCCCCATGCCTCACGTACCTTGCTGGGCAAAGCTTGGCCACTGCCACCTAGAGATAGGTCATTGGTCCCCCGAGCGGCATTGAGCAGACACTGCTGATGTTCGTAGGGGGAGGGGACCCGAGCGGAAGGGGACTGGAGGGAAGGCATAGCTCCTAGCCAATCGAAGAAGCTCTTTCCTGATGCTACCAGCTGACCCCTGACCTGTATCGCCCACCTGCAGGTTGGGTGCAGCACCAGCCCTGGTTACCCCCCTCAAACCTGAAAAGTGCATTGGACATCATTCTTTTTATTTTTTTCTGTTTTTTTTTTTTTTTTGCCCTGTTTTATTTTTGGCCAAGGTCTGTGTGTGCCAAGTTTGGTATTTGTTGGGGTCTTGGAGTTGACTGTTTTGGCTAGCCCTGGAAAAATCCTGAAAATCCTAAAAATTGAAAAGAGTAAATTTTGCATGAAAACACACTTTTGCCTTGCTGTTTTATAGGTTTTTAAAGTTGTTTTTCCAAAAACTTTTTTTAAGTCGTTAGTATGATTTTCACTATATGAATTGGCAAGTTTGGTTAAAATGACCCGTGGGTTTTATTATAAATGGCTTGGCAAGTGGTCTAAAAATTGAGGCCTTCGTTAACCGTCTCTCGACATGGAAAGATACACAACCATATTTGTTGTGTTTTACTTATATGCCGACAAAATCGAAAACGAAACAACAAATGGGGGAAGCGTCGTGCAACTACAATAAGACCGAGTGCACTATGGATTCAAATTGAGGGATGGGGTAGAAAACGACGCTAAAACAAATGGGCTTCCGGGCTTTGTGAAACTCCGAAAGCCCTCCAGTTCATCCCCACCCAAGGTTTCTTGTGGGCCCACAAAGGAATGTTGCTGGACCCTTTACATTTTTTTACGAGTATAGTAGGGATTTGCCCTCGTACCCAAAAAAGTATAAATTTATGTTATGATCCGGAGAAAGCTCAATCCATCGTTGAGCCTTAGAAGGAGATGGTCAAAATTATTCCACTAACATGTTTGAAAGTTTAAACGACTTACGCAGCCCAAACCAATTATATGGGAAAATGTTGAGTGACCCATTACCATCTTTGCCCGAATAAAATGTATGGTCATTACAATTTTATTCAAGCCAACTTTCAGTCTAAATACAATGATAATGGTTATATGTATTATTAAAGGAAAATCGTGGGGTAAATTGTCGTTGGTCCCTTCGAAGGAGAACGTGACTAATATATTTAGTGCTTTGTTTTTATTGTTGGTAAAGCTTGTGTGTCCGTATGCGTATTTGTGTGTAGAAGGTGTGTGTGTGTGTGTGTGTGTTACTACCTATAACAAGCAGAAAAACCATACTTTGCATTGCCTTCAAAGGAAGTAATGACATCCGAAGTCATACAAATAACTTTAATACACAACCATTGAGCATATTTATCGAGACCATGGAATGAATTGAGCAAGGGAAGAGGATTCTCAAATTATTTGCAAATAAATTTAGTTCTTATTTAATATTCATGTATTGAGCAAAAATAAATTTAAAACATTATCATTGTATCCACAACCACGAATATACATATTTGTTTCATCGTGAGTACAATACACAACATTATGTCAAAGATGAAACATGAATGGTGCAACAGGGTTTGAAGTCTCATTTAGGTCATTCGTCGTTCGTCACAACAGTCATGGGAAGAAAAAATCACCTTAAAAAAAAAAAAAAAAACTCAAAACATATATGCGTACATCAACATGTTCATTATCATCATTGTATAATATACATTTACAAATTATAAACCATATGAGCACCATTTAAGCAAAAGCGTTATTTCAAATTAAAAACAATAATAAATCATAATCAGTATGCACCATATCTTCATACCAATAGTCGTTATATCCAAGTTCGTAGTAAGCAAAATATTGACAATTGTAAAAGAAGATGTACAATTGTTTTTTTGGGGGGAGGGGGATTCATTCTCATTGTATAAGCCTAACAGTTTTATATAACTAAAAGAGCATTCAACAAAATTGACTAGAATGGCGCACTCACAATTTATTATATCAAGTGCGATTTAAATGTTCATCCTTAAGTAGCAACAAAGAGAAATGAACTCTAATAGCACATAAAAAAAAAGTTATGTATACTACTAGAGTTGTAGATAGATTGAATATTTTGAGGTTCATAATATTGATATTTTGATTAAAAAGAAAATGATAATTTGAAGTTATAAAAAACAGTTATCTAATTAACGAACTTAGATATTTTACCATATTAATTGTAGATTTATAGTTTGTTAATAAAACATACTAGGTAGCACGACTTATCTGGCCGGATAATCTGGTCGGATTATCTGACCAGATGATCGGGGGTTATGATTATTCGAAAATATAGATTGTTAAAAAAATAGTCCAAAAAAAGGGAAAAAAAAAGGATGTTGAGCATGCAAAATACAATAGAACTACGTTCCTATTTCCTAAAAAGTTTGATAGGTCATGAAGGGGCTCAAAGGGGGTAAGATAAGGTATAAAAAGGCCTAGAGGGGAGATGCTTAATTCGTTTTATAACTTTTTCTCTAAATATTTTTATTTTTTTTAGTTTTATTTTTTATCTTTTTATTAGTTGAGATATCAAAGATTACCTCACGACGGAAGTTGTTCGTATCATTGATATGAACAACATATTTTTTTCCCAATTTGAATTATTTTTTTCGGTAAAGAAAAAATATTTTTCCCAGGGCCGAGATTTTTCATATCCATAATCAATCCAAAATTTTCATCCGGATTGACAATTCCATAAAACATTAACCTGGCGGATATACGGATTTGCGAGCCGATATATACAAGGTTGTCGACGTTCTGGACGAGCCGAATGCCCGAACCCGAACGCCCGCACGTCCGGGCCCCCTTGTAGACAAACTCGGCCGTTCGGGCCGAACGCGGACAAAAAAAAAAAAAAAAAAAAAAAAAATCGTTCAAAAAATTCGAAAACAATATATGTTATGCATAAGATAAACTGAACAACATTTGTTTCCAAGTGACATTCAAACTCATTACCAAATTTGAAATAAAAATAGAATACGAAAAAATAAATAAATAGAAATAACCTGCGTAGCATGACGAATATGCTTGCGCCCCTTCACGTTCGCACGAACATGTTCACGCGTACACACGAACAACTCGCAAACATGTTCGGGCGAACATTTTTTTTTTTTCCTTAAAAAAATAAATAAAATTTTTGGGTTTTGATTTTTAATTCATGATTGGCTACGAATTGGAACATGACTCCACAACAAACGTTGCTTGTATTGTTATTTTACATAACATATATGTTTTTCAGATTTTTTCGAGAATTTTTTTTTTTTTTTTTATGTTCGTGTTCGGAGGGTTTTTTACGCTTGTTCGCGTTCGGGTGAACATGTTCGTGTTCGCCTCTGAACGTGAACACGGTGCTACATAGGAAATAACTAATTTGATAAGAGAATTAAAATGAGTGTGCGGATGGACACGTTTTAAACACCATCTTTGGAGATTTTTCATTTTGTTTTGCCTTAGTCAAATTCCCTGAAAATTCATATATGTGTATCTCACATGATACACAAGTCATTAAAAAAATATAAGGTATGGAAATTGAATTTGTTGAGGTTTATATAACAAAACAGCCATCAATGTTTGATAATTAACTTATAAATGAGATGGTTTGTTTTTTTTAATTCGGTTATATCTTATATTTTG